CCAATTACAGTTTTAGTATTCTCTTAAAGACATAGTATTAAAATGTCTATCCTAGTTTATATATTTCCAACCCAAATGACTGTTAGGTGACTTACATTCCTAACAAATCTTTAGCAAATCTGTCAATTGCCACTTTCTCTAGAGGTAGCAAAGAGTGGATTGAAAGGCTGCAATAATGTAGGTCATATATTATTATTATTTTTTGACTTTCCATCTTGATACCAAGTCATCAGGGAGAATTAGTGACATGAAGTCATTAGGGAGAATTAGTAAGGCCAATGAGCTAATGGAAAACAGAAGTTTGAGCCAGTAAGACGGATGACAGAGATAACATTTTTATGCCAAAGGTGCTTTTTCAAAGGACAACTAGACTTTCTTTCTTGAAAATATTTTGCTTCTTATCCAAGAAGCTTCTTCAGTTCTTGGATGAGAAGTGAAACATTTTCAAGGAAAAAAAGAACAAGAAAGTCCAGTTGTTTTTTGGAAAAGTACCTTTGGGACAACTGTGACCTGCATGAATGAGAATCTCCACAGACAGATAACATTCTTGTTTCCATGAAAATTAGAATGGTTAGAGGAGTTCTTAAAAAGTGTTAGATTAGATAGCACCCAGGACTTTAGATCACTACAGGGACATATCTCTACACTGTACATAATTTGGGATGTAGATTTAGCTTTAAACAGCTTGAAGGTCACAGGAATGCATTTCTTTAAAATGAAAAAAAAAAAAAGCATAGAATTGCCTTGGCATTATTTCTGCCTTTGACATAGAAAACTCTAAACTGTTCCTGTAAACTTTCAGAGTTTTTAAAAAATACTTCCAGATATTTAAAGCCTGGAACTTCCTCTATTTTGCTAGTTCTTGATGTTTATGGCAGCTAGGATTTCCCTGGGTCTTAGAATAATTAATTGTAAGCTCTTCCTCTTTACACAATTGTGGTAAAATTTGCAAACTTCTCCTTTGTCTTTGTAAGCAACAAAATAGCATAGCCAAATATTTGCTTAAGCTTAGTATGATGAAATTCTTTTTTTGGTAAGAGTAGCAACCATTTAATTTGTACAAATATTAAACAGTAGAGAAGCTAAAACACATATCTGTTTCACTCTTCAGCTGACTTGAGTATCAGCAGTAAGAAAGCCATGTTTATTGAACTTAACTTGAGTGACTGTGTTTTCATGCAGCATCTTGATTAGTGAAAGTAGCCATCAGTCAATAGATGTAACAGCGAGCTTCTATCAAAGTCAATCTCTTGGAATGGAACTGAAGGCCGATTTTAGTCAATGAAAGCAAAGTATAAAAGATGTTGCTGTCTCCCAGTATATTTTTCTTCTAGGACTTACAGAATAACCATTCTTTCATTTTAGAATTGCTCTCTCTTGGGTTAGGAAGAATAGAACATGAATATAAGCATTCATGGGAAAAATAAAATGGGAGAGTTCAACCTGGTCATTGCAGGAAAAAGAGAACTTCCTTTCTTTTTTGATTGCAGCCTAAACAAGGAAATTATATTGGTCTACCCAATTTAAATACCCACTGCTTATTGACAGGTCAGCTATTTATAAAAAAATGTTATCCAAGATTTAAATCCTGGATGAACATGTTGACCTGTTATGTGTCTGAAAACCAGGTTAAGGGAGGAGGAAGGAGAAAAGCAGGAACACCTCTACCCATTGGGCTCTCTGATACAAGAAAGTTAAAAGGTGGGGTAGTGGCATAAATATTTAAGAATTCCATTTCAATAACCAAACATCCACCTGACAGCTCACCAACTGAATTTTTAACGCTTGCTAGTGCAATTGGGTGGCAGGGATGATATAGAGATACCATGACATACTCACCATTCTTTTGCATGGCTATTCCTCTTATTAGGGTGATTTCTGAAATATAATGGACTACTTTAGTTGTTTTGTCCTGGATATATCCATATCTGTGATCAGGTAATTCAGAATTTAATTTCTGCTATGATGACTGTAGGCCTGTCCCAAGTGATATCTGATCTGCACAAACAGAATTTGGTATTCTCTTTATTTGGAGCCAGCAATCTGAAAATGAAAGAGCTCCCTCTAGGTCTGTTTTCTCTCATAGGTAATTGTTAGGTTTGCAACTTCTATATACTTTCGCAGGAGTAAGGACTAATTAAAAGGATAAAATTGAGAGATGATTTTCTCACCACATCTATGGCAATTCTACTGAAATCCTAGCTGATTTATGGAATGTATAAGTGGTTTAGGCTTGATGTTATAATAAAAGTCTATTTCCGTCTACCAGAGGGAATAAAAATTTATATAATAGCAAGAAACAAGGATATTCATGAGGTTATTAAAAATCAACATTGATTCAACACAAATTTTATATTACTTTGTCAATTATTACATAACACTTCATCACTTCTATCATTAGTTTATAAACTTCAGTTCATATTTTGTAATTAATTATTTGGAGAGTTAAATGCTTAGAACAAAAGAAAAACAATTTAGGATTTTTAATATGACGACAGTCAACTGATTTTTGTATTCTTCTTCAATTTTTAATTTGTACAATTTAGCTTAAAAATAGATGAAGTGAGGGTTCTGCAGTTTCAATTTGTTTGTTTTTCTGTTGCTTATATATGTATTTCTTTGCTTGTTTGCTTACTGTTTTTATATAACACTAGGTCAAAAATGAGTTCTTGCATTTCATATTATAAAATATAAAAACAGAGAAGAAACAAAATAAAAATGCAAAATTACCATAAAACAATAGGTGAGGTGGTTATGGACGAATATATGGTCTGTTACATTTTGCACAAAATCTAGTTTCTGAGTGGTCTTTAGAGGCAGCTGTTATGTTCTATAATTATTGGTGGTTCTGTTATAGGTTCTATTATTATAATTCTGATTTTCAGAATTATATTTAACTATTTAAATATAAACTATTTACTATATTTAACTATAACTATTTTTATGTTATAAATTGCTTTGAATTCCCTAATGTATTATTTTAATGAAATTGCAATGGATTTTTTTTTGAAGAAAAAAATGTGAGAATGATAATTGTTAAATATTTAGGTAAAGTTTCATATGGCAAGAGACCCAATCTTGTGGTATTTTGTTTGGATACAGGATACAGTGTAAATTGTGATTCAGTTAATCAATCAAACTGCTGTTTGACAAACTTTATTAAAAATAAAGTTTAATTGTATTAGTTTGACAAAAACATTTTGTATTTCTTATAGAGTACTTTGTCAAATGGATAGTGACACATAGTGCACTATCCATTTGACAAATATTTATTTTTAATAAATAAAATAATAAATAATATTAATAAATAAAATGAAATATTTTAATATATTTTTTCTAAATGAAAAACCTTTAGTATTCTCAGTGTATTATTCACATATATGAGGGTCATTATTCTTTAATTTATAATAGGCATCTTTTATATTTCATACAGTAATCCCCCCCAAAGAATATAGACAATAGAGTTAGTCTCTGACAGAAAGCCACTTGAAGAGATTAGAAGCATTTGAAATATGGATTTACAGATCACTGTTACATATAAGCTGGGTTGACAAAATTAGAAACGAGAAGGCGATAAACTGCCTGTAAATCATCAAACTTTTAAAAAGCAAAAGGTACAATATTTCAGCTATGTGATGCAACACCCAGAAAAATACAGCATACTTCATTTAATCCTCCAGGAAAAGATTGAAGGCAAATGAAGTCCAGGCAAAAGAAGAACATAATGGCTTCAAAATCTAAGGAATTGGTTTGGACAAAACTCAGCAGCACTTTTTCTTGCAACTGTTGATAAAAATAAGATCGCCAACATGATCGCCAACGTCTGATGGCGGATATGGCACAAGAAGAAGAAGAAAGAATATGGGATAAGATTCTACTTTGCTTGCAGTGATACTAGAAATAAAAAAAATGAATGTTATGAAATAAAAAGAAATGTATGTTAATTGGGGCATATTTCCTTGTTAATGTAAAAAAATCTGCTACAATAAAAATCTTAAATTAGTTGAATAAATGGGTCTTGCCCCTGACTAAAACCAGTTTTGCTATTATTTAATGTATTTTATTTAATGTATTTAAAGCTATGGGAAGGCTTGACAAAACACAGACTTTCAAGCCTCACTGCTTTAATATACAATTTGATTAAGTCTCAGGAGTTTGATCTCAAAGATCTGAAAAGATGTCTAATTATGTCTTGACCACCTCATTGCTCACTCGCTATTCTTTCTTCTGACATTATCTGTCAATATGATTAAGCTAATGAACTCCCATTCACATAGTCTAATGTAGACAAAACAAAAACACCCCAAGAGAATGAGGTAATCCTAAGATTTAAAAGAATGAACAAGCAAACTAACTTACATACTTCTTGGAATAACTAATGATGAAATAAAGGATAGGAGCCATGTGGTATATAAATTTAATAAATAAATTCCTTTTGTACAAAAATGGCAAATCAACAACAAATATGTATATTTGATGACTAGAATGGCTGCTGTCAAACAGAAAGATCAAACTGGTTTAGTATGCCTTGTTCTTAAGAAAGCCAAGTTGACAGCAAGCAATTTCCAAGATTAGAAACTAATTGCTTTATAATTTGATCTTACAAATAGTTCCCAGTTTAGTCTGGGTTCAATAAGTTTTAGAACAATTTATAAAGCAATCTTTCTAAAACTAATTCGGAAGAAAAGGAATTTTCTTAAAAGCCATTTGGGTTTGGTGCAACAGTTTTCTACCCCCACTCCAACTTGGCTAAATCTTTTTTTAGAACCTCTGTATATAAAATCATGTCAAGTTTAGAAAAATGAAATGCTAGAGCCATGTAGTTGTACGTTAACCGTTTAACCTACTTTGCTTGTGTTCTACAGACATTTATAGAATCTTAAATGTCTTTATAAAATAATTTTGGTTTACAATTACAAAATGCTTTCAGGTTTGCTTATGGAATAATAGCATTATATGTTAAATGAATATTAATTGTACCCCTTTGTATCCGTACCCAGGTAACTTCTGGTGGAAGAGCAAATTACTATGTGTCTTACAAAAGGGAACCCTTTACTCAGATAAAATTACCCAAGTATTCACTACCAAAGGTAAATGTATCCCAACAACTACAAGAATAAGAATGACGTATTTGATTTTCACAGTATTATACACAAAATAAATTGTTTTGTCACATTTCTATAATTTCTATGATAAATTATAGCTAGACTGCTGATTCACCATCCAAGTGCTTGAGAATCCTTGCTTTCTTTAACCTATACAATAAAATGGGGATTTCTACCAAAGCTTATTGGCTACATGATTGATAAGTTGCTTTAATAATATTATTGATAAGTTGCTTTAATAATATTAATAACATTATATTTTCATTTCATTTTGGCAATAAGCATTTAACATATAACTGGTTGATTGTGTTTGAAAGCAACTGGAAATAAATGGACCCAGTATTGTGATTTTCTACTGAAATAGTTCTAGGAGTATTAATATTATACCCACAGGAAGTGGCATTTTTACTGGGGATATTTGGCTTTGATAGCTCTTCTCTTTACTAAATAAATCTATGGCTAGGAGTTACGTTGAAAGTGGCTCTAAATTTAGGCATGTTTTAAAAAATGTTCACCTTTGTTACTGGCTGTTACCAAAAAAACTAGGCTTAGGCTCAGTGTCTTTGTTAGCTTGACAGCTGTGCTTTGTCTCTTGTAGGCCAAAGGAAAGCTTTAGGCTCTGAACCTACAAATCATTGAAGAACAATAAAAATATGTGCAAGTGTATAAATAAAAAATGAAGTAGGATGAAACTTCTTTAAAGATTCTGGAATCTGTCTTCTTCTTCCCCACTGACCACCCTGCAGCCAATTTAAAATTAAGAAACATATAAATAAGAATACCTGAATGTCATAATTTATTGGCTTGGTCTAATGGAAAATTGTTTAACATCACTCATAACTCATGATCTTTCCCCTACAGTGGCATAAGGCATGATAATTGCTTTGTGTCCCAAAGGGCAAAGAAATATAAAGATTGGCAGTAATAAGTCTTTTATCTTCCTTAACAGGACATGCATATTATCAGCACAGATGAGAATCAGGTGTTTGCTGCAGTTCAGGAATGGAACCAAAATGACACATACAACCTCTACATTTCTGATGTTCATGGCGTCTACTTCACACTAGCCTTGGAGAATGTTAAGAGCAACCGAGGACTAGAAGGGAATGTTATCATTGATCTTTATGAGGTATGCACCCAAACTCACAATGAGGCAAGTTGTCCTCTTATAAAAGTAAATCTCACTTCCCGATATTTAATTGAAAAGACTGCTGCTATAACAAGAAGAAATGAAGTTGGAGTTATATATCTATTGAGAGATTTCTAAATGCTTTCAGAAAATAAAAATGAATTCTTTCTTCTAATTATTTAATTGTACTAGAAAAAACATTTATCCATATTCATAGTGGAATAGCTGAACTCTGAAAGGTCTGCAGTCTCAAAACTTCCTTTTTTTCTGAGTAATCAAATCCTGGATTTTCCTATGCTTATGGGTAGCAGCTTAGTAGATCTTATCTTTCAGGAATATCTTACCTGACATTTCCCGCCTAACTCCCCTGTGTAAAAGAGATAAGTCTCTCACAACAGATCCTGTCTTTCTGACAATTAAAAGTAAATAATAAAGTTAAAATAATTTCTGCATTGTTATTTGGTTATATGGTTTAGGGACACAGGAGCAGAAGATTCAGTCTTTCCTCTGTTCACTTCCTAGTCTAATAAGAAAAAGAAAAACCATATACAGAGACACATATGTACATCCATATACCTGTGTATGTATGGATTCATGGGTGTATGTATACATACATACACTTATACTATATAAATTCTTTTCAAGCTTTTGAACCCCTAACTGTATATTGTGCATGCACGCACACACACACACACACACAGATAACATATTGTGGGGTTTTTTGTCATTTTTATTCTTCCATTTTGATACCTTGGCTATTCTATTTAATAGGAACATTATTTTACAGGCTTGTATTTGACTAATATAAAGATCAAATGTTCTGATAATTTAGAATGGATGGATGGATGATTTAGGTCTTTGCAAATAGCAAACATGATCTTATGCTTGCTTAACTATATGATCGATTAGATTGTATTTGATTCTACCAGTCCCATCAGGAAAGCCAATGTCAGTCCTGATTTCTGAATCAGAATAGAATTGGAGAAATCAGAAAGGGAAAAGGAAGTTGAAAAAGAAAGGGAAAGAAATGGGAAGGGATGGGGAAGAAAGGGAAAGGAGAAAAGAAAGGAAACTGGTCATGCTGCCTAAATATGGAACTAAGCTTTAGTTTCAGACATTGTTCTAACTTTGAAAGATGGTATATAATATTTTAAATAAACAAATATTTATACATGCACACACACAAAGATACACACACACACACACACAAGAATGGAGGAGAGATTGAGATTTAATCAAGATTAAAAGAGTTGGATTTTTTGTAATAAATAATCTCTTCCTTTTTATTAGGAGCATAGTTCAGAATCAGAGTTATAGCAGAAACCAGCAATGTACAATAAAGAAGAATAAAATGGGATTGTGAAATTCCTATGATGTGGGGGTGGGGGAAGCAAAGGTTTTAGGAGTTCTGCTGCCAAGAAGGAATTTCTCTAGAGATGAGATTAAAGTTCTCTTATGCGCTCTTAAAAAGCAATTTGTTTTTTGATAGGATATTTTGCACTCACTTCCCTGGTGAATTTCCAAAATAGGTCTCTGTCTATAGTTGGGCAATGATAGAAGCCTTTGTGAGAAACATTTGCTGTACTTAAAATTACATTCATTTTCTTTTTTTTTTTTTTTTAAAAAAAGCTCTTTTTCTTAGATGTTTTCTCATTTTTCTGCCAGTATGAAAGGTAATTCAGTGAGTTGATTTGTGGAATAAATTATATTTTTTTTCTCTTAGAATGAGCTAAATTAGGGCAAGCTGGTAGAGGGGAGGCATCTAAAAGCAGACACATCAGTTACATTTCATCTTTGATATTCTTTATTAAATGTCTGAAAAATTAAATGCAACTCCTGCTCCAGTCTTCCCAAACGATGTCCTGAAAATATATGTATTAGTAGCCCCAGAACTTCTAGCAATATATTAATGGTTACTATGCAGGCTGGGAATTCTGAAAACTGAACACCCAGTATATCTGCAGAGCTTCAGGCTGATAAAGGATGGATTAGTTAACCTTGAAACATTTCAAAGATTCTAAGAAACTGACAGTATATAGAATTTGAAATTTATCAAAATGCTGAGAAGCAATTGCATATGTGGAAGTTCAGGTCACACTGGTTTCTTTGGTAGTATTCAAACAAACAATTTCATATCTTATTATTATAACTCTAACCCTAATCCTAACCCTATAGAATTGGGACAGAACATTTTGACTTGAGAAAGCTGTATTTGTTTGCTTTGAACACAAGGGGAAGAATGGCCTAGCTTCCCCTGCTCCCACACATACACAAAAAATTCAGATGCCAGTTAACTATCTCAGCAAGATGCAAAAGGGAAAATGTATTTATTTATTTGCAGCTATAAAAATCACATAAATAGCAAACATTTGATTATTTATTTATCTGATTTATATAGAATTCCCCTGCCCCCCCCCAAATGACTCAGTATCATTGATACTATAAAATATAATTAAAACATACCAAAACCCACCAGCAATTTTCATGAATCCTCTGCTGTGATGCTTGGGGAATAAGTCAGGGCCAAGGTCATCCATATCGAAGAAGAAATGCTATTCCATAGCAGAAACACAGCAACAGAAAAGGCGTGACAAGAAGAGGCATTGTTTAAGAGACATGAGCCAGAATATTCTGACCCTGTTGGATCTTATTGGATGAACAAAACTGATAGGAGATGGTGAGCCCCAAAAGCTACGAGAAACTTTAAAGGTGGTACTAGCACCTTGAATTGTACCCAGAAGCCCACTGGTAACTAATACAAACCATGAAGTAGAGATATTATATGGGTGCACCAATCTATGTCCATAACTACTTCTCCACTGCATATTTGACCAGCTACAGCTTCTGAGTGGTCTTCAAGGGCAGCCCCATGTAGATCACATTACAGTAGTCCAGAAATTATACATACAAAAAAGGTATGAGCTACATCAGAGGTGTCAAACTCAAGGCCCTCAGGCTGCATCCAGCCCATGGAGTGCCCACAGGGTCACCCTGGAAACAGTGAAGGACCAGTCTGCAGTGCCTCTGCTAACAAAAATGGAGCTCGGAAGGGTGGCCCTCCCAAGCTCAGTTTTCACTGGCAGAATGGTTCAGGAGACCATCACAACTGAAAACAGAGCTCATTAGGGCCACAGGTTATCCTCCCAAACTGCATTTTCACTGGCAGAGGGTTGCAGGAAGCTGTTGCAGCCAAAAACAAAGTTTTTCAATGAAATTGAGTTTTTGACATCCCTGAGCTACAGTGAACAGGGCCTCCTGATCTAGGAAATGATGCAATTAGCAGGCAAGATGGATTTCTCAAAGGTTCTCCAAGCAATGGCACAATCTGATTTTTGAGTAGTAGTCTTAAATCTAGAGGGCTCCTTTGATTTTATTGTTTTTTTTTTAGAAAGAGTTACTTTATTTAAGATTGGAATAGATGGAAAATCTTTGAATCCAGATGTCAAAATCCATATTCCTTTGAAGCCTTCAATTACACACTGTACTTTCCACAGGCATACATTTATCTGGTAGCTTAGATGACTGCAGCTTAAACCTAAAGTCAGCTACGAAGGGAAATAGTGAAAAATTCACATTGTTGAAATTTTGATTATATTGTATGATCTACAAAACTCTGACTCTGGTCAAGTCAGTATCCAGCTGTGTCATTGACCTGATCCTGGTTCCACTGCTTGTATCTTTATGGCACCCAGTTGTCCCAGCATTTGAACTCCAAGATCAAAAACATCCTGGACACAATTGCTATACCCCCAGACACTAAGTGAGAGAATTGCTACTACCAACTAAGTTACACTTGTTGTATTCATTTTGCAATCAACAACGAGCAGGTGATCAGCAGTGTCCAAGTCTCAGTAACATTTTTTCTTAAATATGATATTTTTGCATATTTTTGCAGTTTGTGAATGTTTCATGAATATTTCAGAATTCAGTATGTTAGTTCTTAACTACAAGGATAATGACCAGGGACGGTATTCAATTTTTAAAACAACTCGTTCTGTGGGTGTGGCTAGATGGGCATGGCTAGGTGGGCATGGCCATGTGACTGGGTGGGCATGGCTAGGTGGATATGGCCATGTAACTGGGTGGGCATGACAGCTTCTTCTTCTTCTTCTTCTTCTTCTTCTTCTTCTTCTTCTT